GCTGCCGCGCCGCAGCTCCGTGCAACACCCGTCCGACACCCCTGCCCCGGCGTCTGCGGACCCCCAGGCCCTTCAGGCGCCCCACGGCAGCTCCTTACCCTCAGGTAGTCGAAGATGTTGCAGATGAAGGTGACGTAGCAGATCCAGGCCTGGAGCGAGCGGGTGCGCAGCTCCTCCCTGTCCTTGTACTCCTGCTCAGGCTCCTCCGGAAGATGCTCTGGCCGACTTGTTTGCTCTCTGCCTACGAGCCCACAAAAGCAGGATGGAGGGATGAGATGGGACTGCGAGAGGGGCTGGGGGTGTGGTACTTGTGTGATGCAGGACCAAGCAGAGACCTTCCTGTGACTGCCCAGAGGAAAGGAAGCTGCAACTAACCCTGTGCTCGCCGGCTGCTCGCCTGGGTGCTGCCACCGCTCGGGCGAGTGGCAGGAGAGGAAAGCAGGCTGAGGGGTCAGAGCACAGGGCTGGACAAACCTCTGCTGACCCAGCCTAGGGACATGCACAACTGAAGCGTTTCCCTGTCCGGACACGAGGATCTCTCACCTGGATGATGGTGTAGCAGATGCGTCCCGCCTCCTTGCTGAACACGCAGTCTTTGAGGGACTGGTCCACTATGATATTGGCCACTTTCTCCAGGTCCACATTGCTGGGGTCTGCAGAGAGGAGAAACAGTGTCAGGACCCAGCACCCTTTGTGCCCTGCTTGCTCTGGGGTCCCTGGAAAGCAACCAAGGTCGGCGCAGGGCCTGGTACAACCATGTTATACAGTGCAAAACCTCACGGTCACTCCCACCCCAGGAGTCACAGCTCCCCTCTCACCCCAGCTGCTTTGGAGATACTGTCTCCAACCGTGCACGGTCCTCCCAGGCTGGAGACACAGCCATCACTATGGGAAAGCGATGGGGGAGAGCAGATAATATGGGAAGCAAGAAGTTGATCTGAGTCTGAAATCCCAGCAGTGGTGTGCTGGTTTTTGCTGGGATAGAGTTTCCTCACAGTATAGTAGCTGGTATGAGGCTGTGTTTTAGATTTGTGCTGAAAACAGCATTGATATCATACGGATGTTTTCTTTTCAGCTGTTGCTAAGGAATGTTTACACCAAGCCAAGGACTTTTTCAGTTTCTGATGCTGCACGTGCTCCCAGCTCCTTCTCTGCAAGAAGCGGGGAGGGGACACAGCCCAGACAGCTGACCAAACTGACCCAAGGGACGTTTCCTGCCTTCAAACATCATGCTCAAGATATAAGCTGGGGGAGTTAGCTGGGAAGGAACTGGCTGAGCATCGGTCGGTTGGTGGTGAGCAGTTGTATCATTATGTTTTCCTTCCATTTTTTTAATTATTACATAATATTATCATTAGCAGTAGTATTTTGATTATATATTAGTAGTAGTATTAGTATTATTAGTATAATTTATTTCACTTACTTTCAATTATTAAACTGTTCTTAATCTCAACCCACAACTTCTCTTTATCTCTTCCTTCCAATTCTCTCCCCCATCCCACCTGGGGGGGATGTGACCAAGCAGCTGGGTGGTACTTGGCTGCTACTGGGGCTAAACCATGCGAAGCAGGACGGGGCAGAGAGCAGAACTAGGCACTGGGAGAGGGGCGAGAGGACAAACCTGGGGAGAGATGCTGGGTTAGGGCGGGAGAGGACAGTATCCCGCAATCAGGGAAAACCACAACCATGAGAACCAGGAGCTGAGTGTGAACAGCTGCACCGTTGAACATTGGGGAGAAGGTGTGAGGGGGCAAAAAGCGGGAGCAAAGACCTTCCCAGAGAAGATTCCCTGATGGGACCCAGTCACAGATGAACAGCATTTATGAGACAGTTTTTCTACATTTAGCAACTGGTGTCCCTTAGAGGGGTCCGAGCACCCAGCCTCACCCGCCAGCCACACCGCGTAAAAAGCCTGCTGACCTTTGAGGGCTGTTTTCAGCAGCTTCTGAGTCTCGGTGTCGAACGACTGGATTTTATACTCGTCTTTCCCCGTTTCCCCCATGACTGGCTTCCTCCAAGGGCAGGAGTCAGGGCAACGGATGGGCTAGTGACGGTCCCTGGGGAAAGAGCACACAGAGCTTAGTTGGACAGAGGCCAGACCTTCACCTCGCCATTTGGCAAATCCCACCTAGTGCTGGAGCACAGGCTGCTATCCTGACAGCCCCCCACCCCAAGGAAACTCCTCCGTTATTAGGGCACCCAACTCCGGCTCTACATGTGAGCAAAGCCTCATTCCACATCTTTTTAAGCCTTGCTTCCCGCCAGCCTATGGTAGGACTTCATCTGCAAAGCCTTTGCTTTTTTCTGGTATGAAAAACATATTTCAGGCTGTTGATCTGCAGGGTCAAAGTGGACAGCACACCAGGGCAGCCCCAAAATATACCTATCTCACCCCAGAAGGCATCCCTGTGGCTGTATCACAGGGAAGCACACCCGGGTGCCACTGCTCCCTCGTGCCTCTGAAACACCATTTCAGCTGGTTTCACAGAGGAGCCTGGGAGGAACCAAACCCGGCACCTACGCATCCAACACACTCGCCAGAGCGGGCACAGCACCCCTCCTGGGCCGGAGCCGGGCTCCCTCAGCTCCCAGCGAGACACAGCAAGCTCTGCAGCCCAGCCCCAAGGGCTCCCTTCTCATCCCGCTGCGGCCAAGCACAGCTCTCCGCAGGAACAACGGCGCTCGCAGAGAGTCTCCGGATTAGTTCTGCTTCGTGCTGCAGCAAAGACAGCAGGAGGGTACCCACAGCACCGAGAGGAAGGGTGTTCTCGGAGACGCGTACGAGATGATCTGCTGGATGCAGAATGCCAGGCTGGCCAGACCCACAGCACAAACAGAAGGCAATCGGCCAAGTAAGTTTTGCCAGCTCGTCGAAATTCCTGGGCTGTTACTCACCCCTCTCTGCAAACAGGTCCCTGCCCGGATTAAAGCCAAAAGAGCCCACGGAAGCAGGGGACGCGGGTCGCAGGCAGCCCAACCCCGCGAACACGCCACTTGCCACGACGCCGTGGCACAACACGGAGTAACCCGGAGCGGAGCACGGAGCGCGGTGGGGGGCAGAGGCTCTGCCCTCCTTGCCTTTTGCCCCGAGGGGGTGACAACCTGCCAAAGCTCTCACCTGCGCAGGGTTACCTGCCCCAAGGCCTGCAGAGAGGGTTCTCTCCCAGACGGATTCACAAGCAGCTGGGTGCCCTTTGTGCCACGCCTGCTTGGAAAACACCTTCCCATC